AAGCATAAAGTTTAAATCACATTGATGTTGGTTTCTTTAAAATTATCGGAAGTAAAGCTATATTGCTGGACAAGACTGGAAAACGAGGAAAATTTTATCCGCAAGGTGATGAGTACGTGTTGGTCGATTACTCGAATAAGTCAAAAGCGTATCGACTCTGGAAACCAGGTACTAAAACTGTCATTATAGGACGTGATGTGAAATTTGTTGAAACAATCCACACAAGTAGGCCTAACACTTTTCTGAAGAGTATCTCCGCTGAGCCAGATTTTGCTGATGAAACACCAAATGACATGTGTATAATGCCGCTAAATCAGACGACAGAGATGAACAGTGAGGACGATACAAAACTAGATGAAGAGTCTGATAATGAATCTAATGTGGACAAATATCTGGAAAAACAACGACAAGAAATTCAAGAGGAAAGTCGCATGGGCCAATAAAAACGAGGTCATCCAAAAATTCAAAGAATGGAGAACGCGGAAGACCGAGAAAAGTTTACCAAATTGTTAAAAACAAAATTTCAGACTCCAAACATGTATCCGAAGCGTTAAATTGAGATGATAGAGAGACATGACTAACCGCCATGAGAAAAGAATATGAGAGCCAACGTGAGAACAACATATTGCTCTTATTACCGAGGCCAAACAACAAGTGTTAACAAATCGTTAAAACAAAAACCAACCAACAAGGTGACATAGAAAAGTATAAGGCGCGACTTGTAACTCGAGGTCATACCCAAGAAAGAGGTATAGACTATGATGAAGTTTTTGCTCCAGTCGCTAGATACGAAATAATAAGAATATTATTAGCTGCCTCCGTAAATGAAGAAATGCACGTACAGTACATCAAATGGATGTAACTTCCGCTTACGTGCAAGGTGATTTATCTGATGAAATATACATGGAGCAACCCGAGATGTTCATCCTGGGCGAACAAGAGGATTAAGTTTGCAAACTATTGAAACCTTTATACGGATTAAAACAATCTGGAAGAGAATGGTACAAGAAGTTAGATGGCTTTATCACAAGTATTGGAGGCGGGCTCACAGCAGCTGATCCATGCGTTTATGTATTCAGGAAGGAAGAAGATCGAGTGCTACTTATTGTTTATGAAAACGATTTAATATTGGCAGCAAAGAAGTTTGAAAATCTTGAGACCATTAAATCGAAACTAAAGTCACCATTCAAAATAGTAGACCTAGGCCTTATAAGTAACATTTTAGGCATGGAAATAAAGAGAGAAAGACCAACAGGTAGCATCCGTCTGACACAAACAAAATATATTAATGAACTGATGAAGAAATTCAACTTAGTGGATACAAAAACTGTCGCTACACCGATAGAGTCAAATATGAAAATTTCGAAGAAAATGGGTTCAATCTCAGAAAACGAGAGACAAGACATGAAAAATCGGCCTTATAGAGAGCTTATCGGAAGTCTAATCTACCTGGCAAACGCAACACGTCCAGACATCGCTTTTGCTGCGAGCACATTAAGTCGTTTTTGTGCTAATCCCGGTAAAACACATTGGATGATTGCGAAACGTGTTTTGAGATATCTCAAAAGTACTTCTATGTATGGAATAACATACGTCAAGAACAACGGAGAACTTAAAGCCTATACGGATTCAAATTGGGCTGGAGACATAGATGACAGAAAGTCGTGTACATGTCGGTAACATTCTGATGTTAGCAGGCGGTCCAATTAGTTGGAAGTCAAAGAAACAGACATCTGTTGTAATGTCGACCATGGAAGCAGAGTATTCAGCTCTAACTGAAGCTTCGCGAGAAATAACTTACATAAAAAGACTGTTAGTACATATGGGTTTTAAAAGATGTGTAAAAAACCCCACTTGTGTTTACTGCCATAACCAAAGCGCCATACTGTTATCGAAGAATGCGGTTTTTCACAAGCGTAGTAAACATATCGACATAAGCTATCACGTCACTCGAGAATTAGTCGAAAAAGGGGAAATTGTAATTTACTACTTGAGGACAGACCTAATGATCGCAGATCAGTGCCAAGCAGAAATGTTGTCTAACAGTTGATCGACCGCGCATGGGCGGAAGCAGATCACTTGATGAGCCAGGACGTCATACCTGTTATCAAAGGCGTTTAGAGTGTACATGCAATTCTCCTATTGTTAATCAAATCGATAATACTTTATTTCTAATCCATTCTTTAGGTACGTTCGCTTTTTTAATTCCCTCCCAAAATTCGTTAAATCCTACCGGGGCAGTAGATGATTTTCTGGTTCTTATAACATACGACAATAAATCGATAATGTTAATGTTTATAATTTGCTCGTTATTCACCACTAAATCTCCTTTTTCATTCCAATCGTATTGATAAGACTTTAGTAATTGAATGATATGCAGAACATATTTTTGATATGCAAGTGGAACCGAAATGCTTATCTGATCTTCGATAGATTATGGTTTTGTTGGTTCGGGCGATGGTTGTTGAGATTCTTCGGTTGGTTATAATACTAAAGAAACTGAAAAGAAAGTTCTTTTGGTGCATGAATAGTTTGTTTAAACCTCGAAATTAGTTGACTCAATAGTTTAACTTTCAAATCATCTGATAATGTACTTTCTTCTTATAAATCTTGAATATTATCGTGTATTCTTATTTCTGGTTTTTGTAGTTGATATTTAGGTACTAATTCAGGTGGTAATAATGCCACTTAATCAGCCATTTTTTATTATAATCCAAAAATTCTTTTAGCTAATGATATTATCGAAGATAAAATTTCATCTAAAACTCCTCCAGATTGGTTTACCAAAATCCTCTTTTCTGCTTGGAGACCTATATTTTTATTTGCAAGTTTTCGTATACATTTTTCATATTTTTTCAACTTGTTGACATTAACTGGTAAACAACCTTTAAGCGAGTTGTCACAAATTTCACATATGACTTTTATTTGATCGGAGGAAGCTTCTTTTAACAAAGCTTTTCTCTGAGCAGGTGTTGCCTTTGCAAACACATTTAACAAATAATAATTTTTTTAATATTCTTCATTTTTGTGGAATATAAACCCAATACACGGCTTTGTTCTCGGAAAAAAACGTCAGTCTCTTAAACACAATTCTTTATCTGTAGACAGGTGGAAATCGATTAATAAATATATGTATGGTTTGGATGTCGCAGTTAAATATGCATGTTTAAAGTAGTTCGTTCTACCTATGAACACTTAGTGAGCAAGACAATTGATTTGACTTTCATCTGTTATTCTGAAATAATATTAAATAATGAGCATTTAAACTTATATCTCTTATTACTTTATTACAAGGAAATAAATTTTGCATTATCAATATAACGCTTATATTTTTATGATGGGATTGAACGGTAAATAATACGGCAATTTTTTAGGTTAAAGAATGCATTAAATCGTCTATAATTATTAAATCTAAATTTTTGATATTTTCGGGAATACCACATTTAAAATGAATATTTTTCTCTTCCACGAACCATGGCTGAAACATTGAGTAACACCACATAACTCTTTTTAACAGTTTCTCATAGATATTTTCACGCTGCATTTCTCGAACTAAGAAAGTTTCTCCAGATTGAGATGGACCGATGACTATACAACTAAATTAAATGCATTTTGTACAAAGTAAGTTAAATTCTTTCTTTAATAATTGCACACCGATATGTTTATGAGGTAGTCCTTCACGCGTGAATTTTCGAATATTATATACATCTCTTCCTGCTTTCGTACATTTATGTAAATAAAAATTTCCATCTAAATATAAAGAATATTCGCAAGTAGTATTTTTTATATCAATTTCTTTAAAACCCGATCTGCTTAACAAAAAACTATAAAAAATAATTCTAAATAGTTTATAATAATGATAGCAGCTAGTAGTTTACGTGACATGATGTAAAAATAATACTTAAAACCAAATCATTGTGTATTAAATGAATTAAAACACTAATGCACATGCGTGAAAACACAATAAAACTAGATAGCAAACTCAAAATTATTTTATTTGAAAAAATGGAAGTGTGGTGCAGATGTACTACCCGCATTCAGTTGGACTGGGATTTTTTCACTCAATGAAAAATTATTAGTTCCCTACGCCTCCTCTTCAAAAAAATTCTCTTGCATCGAATTGGCAGAAAAATCTGCTAAATCACAAAACTTTCCTCCGACCATTAAAATTCATTGACTTATTATTTTAATATATACATAACTTTTTTCAAAAGTATTTGTTATACTAAGAAATGATCTTGAAATATTACTGAATTACTTTCATATAATATAGAATTTTAACTTCGCCAATGCCGGTCCCAAGCCCGGAGCTCCATCGCGCAAGGGATGGAGAAGGAGGNTACTACCCGCATTCAGTTGGACTGGGATTTTTTCACTCAATGAAAAATTATTAGTTCCCTACGCCTCCTCTTCAAAAAAATTCTCTTGCATCGAAAATTAGGAAATTATATTAGTGATCTGCAAATAGTAACTACCCACTACTTTTGTATCTCACAAGGATCCAATATATACATAACTTTTTTCAAAAGTATTTGTTATACTAAGAAATGATCTTGAAATATTACTGAATTACTTTCATATAATATAGAATTTTAACTTCGCCAATGCCGGTCCCAAGCCCGGAGCTCCATCGCGCAAGGGATGGAGAAGGAGGAGGGGGAGGAGTAACACCTCGTAAAAAAACCTGGGTTCATCTGGCTCCGGATGATAGCACTCTGTAAGGGCCCCTGTCAAGGGTTACAGACGAAGAGGACCAACGACATTGGTGACGGACGAGGACAATAGTCCCAACGGCAGTGATGGCGGAAGAGTACTCTTCCAAGATGAATTTAAATCCAGACACGACGGTTCTCGTATCGAGCGGTACTCTGGTCAGCGTCGGTTCTCCATGTTAGGAGCGGCTGATTACAATCCTCTAGGACTTACAATCTTAGTTGTAACATTGAAACAAAACATCTGCTTTTGTTTCCCCAAACTTAAATTCTAAACAACTATGCATGATGGAAAAATTCAAAAATAAAACTACTCCAGGTGGTAACCCTAAAGGAAAATCCACCGTTGTCATAGGCAACGCAACTGGGCCTGAGGATTCTGGAGAGCCCAAAACACCATGCAAAAACAAATTGGAGCATATTAAAAACCCTAAAATCAAACCCAAGGTGACATACTTCTTTGGAACACTAAATGTTAACTCGATGCTTAAAGTGGGTAAATTAAAGCAACTAAACCAAATGTTGAGAGAGGAAAACATCCTAATCCTAGCAATACAAGAAACAAGATTCATAGATATCAACACAACCGATTCAGAGAATTACAGGTATTTCAAAGGGAAACCCGGTAAAAGAATAATGAGGAACACACCTCATCTTGGTACGGCATTCTGCGTACATAGAACAATAGTGAACTCGATTACGAAATTTCAATCCCCATCGGGCAGACTATCACTTTTAACTTTTAAATGTGCAAACAAGTCATACACGTTGATCAACTGTCATGCACCAATCAATGAAGATAACAGGAAAAATCCCACTAAAGTGGAGCAGTTCTGGGAACAATTGGAGGATGAAATAAGCAAAATCCCTCGTGAAAATGTCAAAATTCTTGTGGGTGACTTCAATGCGCAGATAGGGAAAGAAAAATCAGTTCGGAATATTGTAGGCAAGTATCCTGCACACAAAAGAACAAACCAAAATGGCCTAAGATTAATTGAGCTCTGTAAGGCTTTCAACCTCAAACTAATGTCAACAAATTTCAAAAAACTTCCAAGGAAACAGAAAACATGGAGATCCCCGAATCCGGAACTTGGAGAATTTCAAATAGATCATGTGGCAATATCCAAACAGAATCAAAAAGAAATTTTGAATGTCAAGATCAAAAAAGGCATAACCTTTGAAACAGATCACCATTTGACAAAAATAAAAACCAAATTGATTCCCCGAAGAAAAATACCGAGAAAATTTCAAAAAATCAAGATAATTGATAGAACAAAACTTCAGGAAGAGTCTTCCAGATTCAGACAAATGACCGAGGACATTGACAGTGGAAATTGGGAACAAATATCAACAAACATCACAAATGCCGCTGAGAAACTTGCTCCTCTAAAAAGATCCCGTAAACACAGATGGTGGAACGCAGAGTGTGATGAAGCTTTAGATAATAGAATCCATGCCTGGAGAAAATGGTACTCAAATAAAACCCAGGAAAACTATAATACCTTCAAAGAAACTAGAAAGTCTACAGCTAAAATACTAAGGAATGCCAAAAGGATGTACAACAGGAAACAATTAGAACTCATTGAAGAATCCTTTCAAAAGAATAACACAACAGACTTTTATAAAACTTTTAAAAAAGAATTACAAAAATACCAATCTCCCAGTCTGTGTTTTAAAAAGGAGAATGGGGAACTAGCGCTAAGCAACTCCGAGAACTGCAAACTGTTGGCGAATTATTTTCAAAAACTTCTGAATTGTGAGGAGCCCCAAGAAAGGCTAAGTTTCCAACGACCAAAAACCCAAAATGTTAGCTCTCCACCACCTGACTTAGAAGAGATACAAAAAACAATCCAGAAATTAAAAAAGCATAAAGCGTCTGGAGAAGACGGTATTGTAGCCGAAATGTGGAAGATTGCTGGTCCAAACTTAAGAAAATCTCTGCACAACGTAATTCAAAAAATTTGGGAAACGGAAGAAATACCTGATGAGTGGAAATGTGCACTAATCCATCCACTACACAAGAAAGGAGACAAAACAGATACAAATAACTATCGTGGAATATCACTTCTCCCAGTAACGTACAAAATTCTATCAGATGTAATAAGAACCAGGCTAGAAAAGCAAGTTGACGCTCACATAGGGGAATATCAGGGAGGTTTCCGTAAAGGAAGGTCATGCATGGAACAAATCTTCAACCTGAAATCTATAATTAGGCATTATACCAGGACAAAATGCAACTATGTTGTCACTTTTGTTGATTTTAAAAAAGCATATGATTCCATTGATAGACCAACCTTGTTCGCTACACTTAATGAATTTGGTGTAGATGATAAGCTGATAAATTTAATTAAACAGTCCCTTACAAATACTAAATCTAAAGTAAAATTCCTTGGAGAAATTTCTGAGCCATTCGAAATCAAAACTGGAGTTCGGCAAGGAGATGGTCTCTCACCCATACTCTTTAACTGTGTGCTAGAAAAGATCATTCGAGAATGGGAAAAAGCATTACAAGAAGCTGGGATAAATAATCAAATTAAATTAGGAACCAAACACAAAGGAGTAAAAATCAACGGCTTGGCTTTTGCAGATGATTTCGCGGCCTTGGCTAAGGATGTGAACTCAGCCATCACCCAAATTAACCTCCTAGGAAAAATTGCGAAGAAAGCAGGTTTACAAATCTCTACGTCCAAAACAGAGTACATAACAAATATTTCAGGTGCCCCAAAATCACTAAAAACGGATTTTGGAGAAATTAACAAAGTATCAAAATTTAAATATCTTGGAGAAATTATTGAAACAAATGGGTTGTCTAAAGCAGCAAATTGTGCCAGGACACGGAAGTTGGAAATTGCCTATCAACTTTCCAAAGACATTTACAACAAAAAATCAATCTCCATTAATGCAAAAATTAGACATTATAACGCAGTGATAAAACCGCAAGCACTTTATGCAGCAGAAGGTATTGCTACTCTTAAAATGGGGGAAATAGAAAATATGGAGAAAAAAGAGAGGAAGATCCTTCGAAAAATTCTGGGGCCAAAAATAGATGAACATGGTAACTACGTGCTAAGGAGCAATAAAGAGCTTTATCAAAAAATCCCAAGACTCTCGGATACAATTCGGAGAAGGCGAGTAAGCTTCTTTGGGCATATAAAGAGAATGGGGGAAAATAGGCTAACGAAACAAATTTTTATGTATTTCAACAACCTAAAGAATAAGAATCAATGGATCAATGACACTCAAAAAGACATGGCAGAAATGGGCATATTGGAAGAAGATATCCAGAACAGGGAAAGGTTTAGAAACAAAATAAAGAACTTCAAGGGTTTTCAGGAAAAGGAAAATAACAGACGTGGAAGACTCTTCACTCAGGAGCAAAGACAACAGCAGAGCGAGAGAATGAAGAGGTATTGGAAAGAAAGGAAGAAGAACAAAGGGAAGGGAAGAGGGAAAAGCAAGTCATAATTAGTTGTTTGTACGTGGTCCAAAGATGGCCGGAATCGACACAAGAAGAAGAATATAGAATTTTGTTTTCAATATCATCAAAACTTATTAAAATCTGTAACTAGCAAATTAATATCATCCAATGAGTAATCAGAGTTTCATTTATTAAAGTTTAATATTTTAAATTCTCTTTTAAATATAGTTTATCAGTTAAATAAATATTATTTATTATAAATATTAATATGAACCATATAGTAATTTAATGTTTAATGAGTTGATTTTTCTATGTATATTAAGAAGGATTATATTTAATGAGTTCGTTTGATCACACAGTATAAATTCGATTTGAAGAAAGACAATTTTTTAATATTATTATTATTGCTACTGTAGAATTAGAGTTAAATTCTCATATTATATCTTTTACTTTCATTTCATTTTGGTAACTAAATTTCATTTCAATTTAATTAAAGTATAAATTTTAAAAAATTATATTTTTATAGATTTCACGTTAACAATTTAATAAAACGGATGAAATAAGTGAATATAATATCAAAGAATTGGAAGACATGACAACATTTGATATAACAATGAACATTCTATATATGAACATTATACATATGGCCAGTAAAAAATACTTGAGTGTGTATGAAATCTTTTTGTCATTTTCTTATTAAATACAAAATAATACTAATCCTAATTTTTATTTATATAAAAGTTCAGAATGCGATGCTAATAGATTTTGAAAGAATTTCAGGTTTAAGATCGTGAAATTATTTATCGACAGTTGGCCATAAAAAGATTACACAGTCCTATAGAAGCTGTAATAGACATTTATATAGATTCTGTTAAAAAGTATCAATTATCAGCTAAAGATCAATGGCAACTTAATTTTACTACCAAAAAAATTCATGGATTAAATTTTATAGACGAAAATTATCGGATAAAAGTGGCAGGAGTGAACATAGTAATTTACAAAACTTATTAAATTATTTCACAACGTATGACAAATTATTTTTATTTAAAAATGAATAGATAGAAAAAAACATTTTAAAAAAATGGAACTACAATTATTTAGACATCGAAGTTCTTGGGTGTCCAAGATTAGATAATATTAAAAAAATTGTTATCACCACAAATATCTTAAAAAGCATTGTTCTCTTTGCGTTATCTTACGAACAATTCTTAATTGAACAAAAATACATATTTTCAAAATCAACACATTGTATAGGTATTTAATAAATAAGTACAAAATATAAATTAAATAATTATTATATTGAACTATTTCCCTATTTTATTTTGTCTTATTGTTAAAATATTTCAAATTTTAGTGTTTTAATATTAGAACAAAAAATTAGCAAATATGTATTTAGTTAATTAATGATTTTCAACCACATCTTTTCGATATCTTTAAATTTATGTATAAATAATAAGTAATTTTTTAATCAGAATCAAAAGTTTCAACGATCAGCAAACATCAACATTCAATAAGATGAATTGTAAGTATATTTTCCATATACATCTATAAAACTTAAAGATTTGTGATGAATGTGTCATATTTGTAATTAGAAAATTAATTTAATTAAAATTTGTGGTCAGTATGGACCAAACCACTACTACTGATATTACGTATATAGATATAGATAAGTAGTATAGCACATATAGTAGTCATAGTAGTATATATTCATAGTCATAATAGTCACGGTAGTAGATAGTAGTCATAGTAAATATCTGTCAGAACATAGAAAGAATTTATCCAAAATTAATCTGGATTCAACAAAAAGTAGGAGTTATAGGGAATTTATAAACACAAACTAACACACACATATACCCACACATGATGATTTTCTATTCATATTATTAATGATGGCAAAGTTATGAAATTTAGGAAATGCCTTTCATTTCTAATATCAAATAGCAAGCATTAGATACTGAAATGTTATTTAAGTATTGTAATGTAAAAAAATTTGTTAAATTAAATCTAATTGTCTATGATATAAAACATACCAGAAGCTGTAATAGTCTTGGTAGGCAATAAAGTGTAAATAGAACATATTGATATAACGCAAATAATTATGTGAAAGCAGCAAAAAATTATTATTTCTAATTATCTGAGAAAATTTGTGAAAATTACAGAAAGTAACGAACTTGTGCAAAGCTTGTTAGTCGATAATTGATAGTTTGCTATAAATTGTTTGATTTAATCTTAAGTTAATTTACTGTTACTGAGCTGCAATTTGAAAAAAATCGTGAATGTATAGATTTCCACTGTCCTCTGTCCGGCTGCCGTTCGACTGTCATTCTTTAATCTCGAGACGAATGTCAGACAGATAAACCTTGAGATACAAACTGGATACAGCAGTTGCAGTAGGGCCTGATTAACTATATTTTTATGTCTGGTATAAACCAGAAGTCACGTTATTTCAATTCATTGAAAATATGTTTAAAAATTGCAGCCCGGCATTCTTATGATGTCACAATAAATAATTGCTTGTGTTTGCTTTATTTTTGTATTTACAAGAAAAAATGTCCTATTACATATCATACTACACTGAAGAATATTTTTAGATGGAAATGCAAAAAAATGAGCAAGAAACACAATAGTATAAGCAATGATTTTTTCAGATTTTAGTTTAAAAGTCGTGTAGGTCTACATTTAATCGGAGAAAAAATAAATTACAACAGTTTTATCTGAATAAGTTATATATAGTGTAATACATTTTAATTTATTTTGTATTTTACATTACTATTATTGATTAATCGGCATTATTAAAAAATTAGCTGTATCATATGAATCACTTAATTAGGTTTTAGCTATATAAAATTTTTAGAAGATAATATACATTATAATGTACATATTTATCTCAGAAT